CAGCGATCATGATGTACCTGACATTAGGAACAGAACGCTCACCTCTCCCCGTATTCGTTCGTCGCTTCTTGAGAGACTTTGAAGGAAATTTCGTCTTTGTATTGTACGTAGGTGAGCTCGGCGCTTTGCGTTTCCCCGCTTTGACTGCTTTGTTCTTGATACCGTCGGTACCGCTGCCGCCGGTCTTGCCTAATTGACGCGTTGAGTATTGCACCGGCATCTACGAAAGCACTCACGTCCTATGAGAGCACTCCAATGCGGCAGCTCATCGTCAGAATCCATGGTGAGCCTCGAGGCATCACAAAGAAGGAGATAAGAGTCAACAGCAAACGAGGGGAGTCAGGGGGCGGGGTATTAGGGGTCTTGACAGCAGTGCCGCGGCGCGGCCCACTTCAAGCGGAGGACTGCGGCTGTAGCCATGCCGTCGCTCCTGTCTGCTCTCGCACGGCCCCGCCACAGAAAAGCTTTGTATTTCTTTCCAGTAGAATGTACCAGAGGACTCTAACAATAGTGCGCTCATGCATACTTTGTCTCCTTTTCAACTCCTTCCTCAGTTTTGCTAAATTGTTCGGCACGGCATCTATCCAACCCATATCAGCCGTGCCGCGGCGACGGGTCTTGGTGAGTTGCCGGACCAGTTTGGGACGCGGCCAGGGGTTAACTCCGTTTTTTACCTTGCACCCACAAGGATCCACTCATATTTTTACGTGACTCTCTGTTTCTGCTGTTCGTACGCCAGAGCGTGACTTTATCACTGCGAAGATACGTTATTCCTTGATTCCAAGTATCTTGTATCGGCTCAACGGCACCTTTTGGTTCTATCTGACGCCAAGTCCGGGATGGTCTTCGCGGAAGGATCACAAATGCAAGAGATAATGGGCTACGGCCATCCATTGATATCCAACTAGTTTGTCCCATTGTCTATGCCCTGCCACCTGATCTTTGTTTCCTGCCTTTAAAGGCCGCACCTAGCGAGGAACCAACATCGAGTCTATTTCTCACTGTATAGTAACAGAAATGCCAAACGAACACCTCTCCTTCGACGTCTTAGGAGAATTCTTTATGATGGCTTGTGAGGCCATCGACCCCCAGAGAGCGCTTCACGCTATTATTCGTCTTTCGTCCGTCTGCTCGACCTGGCGCCACACCGCGTTGGCACACCCCAAGCTATGATCCTACATCTACCTTCCGATGTTGAGCACAGCGGAATCATCTCGTCCAGCGGAGGTTCAGCAAAGCCTACTTTCTCTCTACATCGAACGCTCCAGGGATCGTCCATTGTTCATCACGATCCGCAACAACAGATTCGCACGCGACCTGGAACACAGCGTTCAGCTCCCTTTCACCCGGGGCATATACGCCTTGCTCCGCGCTAATGTACACCGGTGGCATCGACTGGATATCGTGGGATGCCATGCCCACCCGCAACACATGCACCACCTCCTCTCCTCCCTGCAATGCAACGAAATTAGCTCACTGAAGAGTCTCAGACTCTTGCCCTCCGTACCCTACCTGGCTCCCAACTTGCTTGAATGGAAAAATGCGACCGCCTTGCATACCCTCCACATCTACATGTACACGGTGCTTCCCATTCAGTGCTCTCTTCTCGTCAAAGACCTTATTCTGGAAGGCTACAACGGTTCCAAGGATATGACATCGGTCATTGGTGACGGATTGTCGTACATCTTACAATTCTTCAACCTCGAGAGGTTGATGATTGTTCCCCATGAGGCAATCAAGACTCGTGGTACTATCATAGTAGCCAACCTCACTTCCCTCACGCTATGCATTTCCATCCGTAGTCAGCGTTCGTTCGGATCATACATACATGAGCTATCCCTACCTCGCCTTCATTCATTCGCTCTACAGTACACAGGAGTGTACCTTGGCAGTGCCATTGACCACAAGCCTATCGTCCTCTTCATTCGCAGATGCGCCTCATCGCTCCAGGAGCTTATATTTGACAAAGTCCCTCTTCGACCCCTGGGGTTAGCTGAAATTCTAGCACCGCTGCGGGAGCTCCGACACTTGACAGTTCTCGAGCCAACAATTTCATTGTTGAGGGCGTACTACCCCATCTCGGAAGCGTTCTTACTGAATTTCCATGATGCCTGTTTCCTTCCCAACCTTGTCACAATTGATTTGCAGGTACATAGCAAATCGACTGTGGAACGATCGATGATCGATGTGATAGTCAAGGAACGCACTCTTCACAGCTTTGATGCGAACGAATTAATCTCTTTGAGAAGGAGGGTAATTCCCCAATTTTAACAGGAGGCGGTCTGCCGGTAACTTGTGATGGAGCTCCACATTTCCTTTCTTATTGCACAACGACGGATATTTTACATGTATCATACTCACGGTAAGCTTAATGCTGACTTGTTTTGGTCAATCTGAGCGCGGAATCGTACGTTTGGAATTTTGGGTTCCAGGTTATCGTGTGCTCGTCTCTTGCGGCAGATGGCAACCCAAGGATCGGTTACATCGTTGAATAATAGTTGATAGGCGGCGAAGCCTCATTAGTGACTACGCAAATTGAGGAACGTTTGTTTCTCAGACAAAGTATACAAAATAAGAGCCACTCGAGCGTCCAGAAAGCTGGAACAGCATTCTTAGGTACCAAGGGAAAGCTCGTAGCTATATATAAACATAAGACGTCGCACACAAAGAAAATTTACCAGGGCACATACGTCGTTGTAACATTCTTCTGTTTCAGCCCTGTAACATTCAGTGGGATACCCAATTGACCAAAAATAGTGGCGGCCCTGCAAATCATCAGCAATTTGATTATCGACATACCACCGGTTAAGACCTACCGCAAATTGACGTCGGTATTGAGCAGATCCAAAAATCCCAGCGGGATGATGGCGAGTGATGCCGTCGCGCCTTGGGTGAGCAACACGTTCTTTATCGTGTCTGAATCCGCGGTACCGAAGATGGGCACGACGAGGGGATCAGAGAAGGTGTGATCGAAGGAGGCGTATTCGGTGGAGTTGATTCCGGCGGAACTTGTGACGCGCTCGAGCGTGAGCTCGATGGGGAGGGGGTTCTTCACTGTTGAGCGCGAGTTAGGGAGAAGAGGATGGCTAGGAAGAGATCGCACCGGTGAATGCAATGCTGGGTTGATAGAAGATCAGTTTGGGTAAGGCAAAAGGGAAGGGACGACATACTCGACGAGATTAGTGACGAGTGTGTCCAGCTACGAAAACGTTAGCTATCGATATCGATGGGGTCGACGACGTAAGCGTACAGTGATAGTCACGTTAATGCTGGACACTAAACCGATCCCAAGGCCATTGATGATGTCCCCAATCGAAAGATCCGTCGAAGCGGGGGCGGAACGGACCAAGGCAGCCAGGGAGACGAAAAACAGACCGAACAGCATTACTCGTGAGGACGAGGGGAAGAGGGGGATTGTACTGAGTGCATCCAAATTATAGGCAGCAGAAAGGACCGTATGACGCGACGAAGCCATGTGAAATCGTCAGATGATACCAGACCGTGTGGACCGTGTATCTTTTCATGAGAATCTGAATGGCGAGGATCATTGAGAACCAGAACGGAAGCAAGAGACGCATGTGCAGAGGCTCGGAAGATATATGAAAACAAAGTTTGCTTGCTGGAGGAGTTGAACTTTGAAAAGTCGACGCAGGGCTGTTGCATGGTGGAGGTACGAGATCTAGAAAGAGAACGCGAGCCTCGTGGCTGTCACGTTTCTGATTATCTCAGCACGCCACCCACTCTGACCGCGGGTGGCAGTGCATCAGGACCACCTTCTTTGATCTCACGATGGGTCGCTGGACGCAATACGATGAAGTGAGTAACCTTTTTCATATATTGATCCCATGCTGAACTCCGCTAGGACTCCTACCGCCTCCCAGAGGGCATGGAACGCATTGGCTACGACTCGGACACCCAAACATATTTCTACCGCGATGCAAATGGAGACACCTGGAAAGGTGCAGAAGGCGCAGAATACAGCGAAATGACCCGTGGTGTGTACTGTTTTGAGATGCATGTATTCTGCCAGCTGAGAAGTTATAGTATCCGGCGCTTCATCAAGCACCGAAGACATCGAAGCCGCCCCTCATCGTGCAGACGGTTATCAACAGCTTGCTACTGACCTCGTACGTTGTTCTTGTCACTCAGCCTCCCTTCCTCATCATCCTAGGATCGCCCTATGGTCTCGACGACCTACACTCCCAACCCCAGCGCTTACCGCACCCTCTTCCCCTTCTTCCTCATCATCGCCGTCGTTCTCCTGCTCGTATGGCGCCTTATCCTCTCCCCGGATTGTCCGTCCCGAAAAGCCCGTGCGCGCAGGGCATGCAAGCGTATTGGGTCCAGGCAGGTGATTCGTGCTGGGAGATCGCAACTAAGAATGGGTACACTCTTGAGCAGCTGCAGGGCTGGAACCCGAAGGTGGAGTGTGAGGTGTTGATGCCTGGGACGACGGTTTGCTTGCCGGGAGAGAGCAAGTAGGACAAGGGAGAGTAGGTATCTATTTGTGGGTCATTTGGTGGATGGATGGATGGACGCGTATCTCAATACTCATGTAGCTTATTCGCACGGTCATTCTTTGTAATATTTAAATAATAGACTGTCATAACCTATTACATCTGCCGAAGGCTCGCTGTAGTTCTCTAGGATGTTACTCGTTATTCCAGGTGGCACTGGTTCCCCACACGTAGTGAGTGTGACGCGATAAACTTTCCAAGCGGGAAGTATCTCGAGGTCAGACTATGAGTCCTTGAAGCCGACTGCGAGATGATAGAAGGTAGAAATCGCAGCAATGTAAAGGAGAGTAACAAGAACAGTAGAAATATCTTTCAAGTTCTCAAGCTTTAGGGATTGAAAGTGCACTCCCCCAAGTAGGTCTGTTGAGTGCGATCACCCTCCTGGACTAAAAACCAATTGACTGGCCTTCTCCCAGAATCACTGGAAGGAGAGGTTAGAGTGTCAGGACGGATTCTAGGCCAAGCATTGTAATGGCGTCTAATGGGGGCATAGCTCAGCTGGGAGAGCAACAGACTGAAGTTCTGGAGGTCCCCGGTTCAATCCCGGGTGCCCCCACTTTTTTTCATTTGATGAGATTATATTTTTGCAAAGCGTCCTGAATCCTGATCCTCTGCAGGGTCGCACATGAAACGTTCAGGGGCGGGGTGAGTGACTGTTTGTTATTTACCTCTCCCCAGGGAACGGTAAGTTACCGTTACTTATTTTATGACGTGTATTTTCACATGACTGACGTGCCGCATTCAATGCTGAATTTTTACAAAGCCTTTCTTTGTCTTCGTGTTTTTATACATTTTCTTGCTAAATTATCTTGATTTTCTCCACCCAACTACCTGTCACAGGGCAGGTAAATTACTTCAACGAAACCCTCTTCCAGCGAAGGGGTGTAAGTTAACTTATCGGGAATAAACGTAGGGTTCCGTGCGCAACCCTAGTCCTCATAGACTAAAGTGCAGTAGCTACTGTAGTAAGCCTAAGCAAGGAATCACGGAAACGAGTAGTAGTACAAACAAAATGAGACTTGCTTGAAAATCCTTTGTGATGTTATGATATTTCTTATCGCTGTTACTCTGACTCTCTGAGGTAGTACTCGGTTAATTGGCGGACGTCAATTCATAGACTTCTCTGAAAGAACCTCGCTTTATCACCAGCCCGCTAAAGTCGCTCAATACGGTAAGTCCCTCTCTTAAATGTGATGGAGAGCTGCGACATCAAAAGTATATTTGCTGCACGACCCCGTCGGTTGCGAGCTCCAGGCTTCAGGTTTCAAGTTGGGAGTTGTATCATAATATCAGTGCGACGATTTCTCGGCATTTTTCGATGGAACGTGTTTTCTATGGTGACTCGCGAACATGCTCCATGTGAAAACAGGGCAAGAAGTCGAATGATATTTTTTGGAGAACGCATTGTACAAAGGAACCGAATCTGAGGAATGGGAGGAAAGGAGAGATATTCGAGCCGTACAGAGGAGTAGAGAGTCTATAGGTAACTACAACAGTGGGATGGTGGTCGTAAGAATCGTGACGCGAGAGTCAGAGATGAGGCTAGGCATGGAGGAGTTTCTATACAAGGTACTACGAGTGGTTAGTTTAGGAAGACCCCGAAGCCTCGCCGGAGGACCCCTCATCTAAGGGAGACTGAGTGCTCCTTGGGCCGCGTTTACGAGGACGTCTACCTTCGGGATTGGTGATATCAATAGCCCAAAGACCGCCTCTTCCAGGTTCGGTCACGGTACGTCCCATATTCCTGAAAAGATCGTGAGAAGACAAAGCATGCTTGAGCGTTTCCTGTCAATGAAAACCGTCGTTAGCACCGTGTTTGACAAAAGCAACAGTGACATTCGCACGAACCCTCAAGGTGCCCTGATTCTCTTGGAAGTACTCAAAGCGTGCGATAATAGCAGCTCTGATCTCAGCCGTGGAAGCCTTTTGGTGGGGGTGACTGTAGATTGCAGCCGCAGCCAATTGAATGATAGTATAAGGGGGCCTTCCAGCCCTGTCGCGCGGATTAACGAGGTTTTCAAGACGGACTGCGGTCCCGCGTGGGAGATTGAGGAACTCCCGTAGGTAATCGCCGGGTTCGGGTAAGTCGTACTGGGTGTCGGCCCTTGCGAGGAAGGGTGTGGAGTCTGGGGACTCGCGTTTGGGGATCGTTTGGGGGGACTGCTCGAGAGTGTGTCGGCGGTAGTAGCGCGGGCCGGGATCCAAGGACGCGAAAGGGGATGGGAGGCCGGTTATTGCGGTGGCGTATCCGGGAGGATACGGGCCAGAGGGCAGGGAGTATTCACTGGGAGGCGAATGCGATCCGCGCTGCGAAAGAGCAGCTTCGTCGTCCTGGATGTATTGCTTAAATGAGTTTAACGTCCGTATATTATCATGATGTACTTACCCTACCGCGAGGGTATCCCGACGCGTCATAAGTACGCGGTGGTCCCGGCTGTCCTTCATGTACATAGTCCTAGAATAGTATCATCGCGTAAATCCAACAAATACCAGGCGTCTTTTGTAAGGATACACGTACAGGCTCGGGTGAATGCGCCAACATCTCATCATCGGGGGGACTACCTGGTACAGACGCCCCTGGGGAACCCGCCTCACTAGGAGAGGGAGCCAGCAGAGGCGAGTCAGGATCCTGGGTTTTGATGCCCCCACCAGAACCTGGCATAAACGGCTGGTCCTCGTCTTCTCTAGCCATCGCATAAGAACGAGGAATGGAAGGGAGACGGGACCTGGGGCCACCATAGGAGGACCTAAATTGGATATAGGAAGCAGGATATCCGGAATACATGATTCCTGGTATCAAGGCTTCAGTCAGTCGCGTGAATGGATGCCGCAGACACATACAATGATGTCCGTGCAAGGCTGAATATAGGGGAGAAGATTTGGAGAAAGAGTAGCAGATGCTGGAGCGGTGTTGTGGGACCACTGTTGAGAACATACTGTGCCCCCACAGGGTTTTTATACTGATATGACCAACATTTTTTGGGTCCTCCATACATGGCTATGTCCACGAATTGGTTTCGACCCGGTTTCCGACGATTGGCTCCGAGCAGTTTTTCTTGATCAGCAGCTGGAAAAAATACTCTATCAAGAAGTTGATGAGAAGGGCACGAGGCAACACTTTCCGGAGATGGACGGTGTTGTTGGGGTCCGTTGGTGCATATGTACATCGCCGAGGTGCCGAAAGTAAGATAGCCATATCTGTACCTTCCTGTCAAGGTAATTTCGTTTGAAGGAGTCGCTGGAGTTTGTCGCCCGTAGCGGAAGATCTGGGCTGAGCCAGAGAGAAGCTTGACGTGAAAAAATGCTGAATATGAATACTGTGGGAACGAGAATACCCGACAAATTCCCCTGCATACCATTATATCAAAACCCGCACCATGATTCTGTTTGACGAAATGGGTCCTATCAAATGGTGGCGATTACAAGGTGTCCTAGCCGAAGTGGGGCCTCGTTCACAAGCAATCTTAAGCGAGACCCCTGGTACCAGGCCTTCATCACTCGTCTATTTCCGAAATTTGGGCTAGGATTTCGTTGGAAGACTACCCATGACCACTCTCATGAGTTTGTGGATAAGTGGCAACGAAAGCATATTATGAACCGTGCTAAGCCATGCTGGGAGGAGAGAAGTGTTGAAGTAGGTAGACGTCAAGAGCTTTGACAGACTGGACCCCTGCTAATTGACATGACAGATCCTCATCTGCATCCAATACACCTCCGCATGTCTGTGCTTGGTACTGCTTGTCATTGACTCTGTTTTGGACGTTCTGCGTATGTGAATATCGTAGTTATTGATCAAGGTTGAGTCGGCCCGAGGGTATCTGCAAGCACGCGTACATAACGCGCCTGTGGCGCAACCACCACGTCCAACAAAGGGGCTTTTTACTCTCCGTCTTGAGCTAAAAGAACCAGCGCAACATAATTGTAGCTCGATGCGCTTGAATTTCAGATGTTTACAATCAAGGGGTTCTTTTCTACGGTATGCCTAGTTAAGACGCATTTCAACTCTTCCCCTAAGATAAAAGTGCGAAGACTATGGTGCAATGATCGTGAGCAATACTTGTTTCACCAAGAACTAACATAAAGACCAATACTCGATTCCATGAAGTACAAAGTTGAAGGAAACAGCGAGGGCGAAACTAGGGGGAATTACCGATACCAATCATTCCACAACTAACTCGGTAACTATATTGGTGACCTTTTTGTTCATGTCCTCTGATACAGGACTCGTGGGATCCAACGTAGGAATGGGACCCGTGAACCAGTAGATGCCACCATATTTGGGAAAGTAGTACCATATCAATGAGAAAATCGTCACACCTCCCAGCACTACTACGGAGTAGTTCATGTCTTGAACAGTTGTTCGAGGGGTCGTAGGGAACATGAACACTATGCTCGTGAAAAACATGAAAAGTACAGCTATCAATGCGATCGGAAAGCTCTAAACAATGAACGATCGTCAGAGATTAACAGAAGTAAACACGATTTACGAAGACTAACGAAAATTCCGAGATGAAAAGGTCCAGGCTTGAAGTCGTTCTGTCCGATGAAGCGGGCGGCGATTGGGATACTGTATGCGACGTACAATGAGATGACGGATATGGAGAATACCGCGTTGATAGCATTCTCCCCCGCGAAAGAAAGTAGACCCAGTAATATGGCGAAACCGGCGTCGAAAATAACAGTGTTAACTGGCGTTTCTGTGTATCCGTTCATTCGATATAGCCAATTGGAGAATGGAAGGGCTAGCATATGATACCTGAGTTTAAACTAAGGCATTCATGACGAAAATATCATACCTCGATCTCTGCTGAATGCGTAAGTCTGTCTGCTAGCTGCTAGAAGCTAATGAACAAATGTCAGAAAATGTTCTGCTTTACCGAGGAAGAGCTCACAATACTGGACCCCATCATGTACCTGCCAAGGTAAAGTCAATATCGCAATGAGAGAGATGAGAGGGTCGACGTACTGCACCAACACAATGATCGCCCAGATACCTAACGTTCCTTTCTGCCCAAAACCGTTGAACAGAATCTGCGCCATAGGCTGGGCACTATCATATATCACTTGAAGATCCGAGCCCATACAGAAAGCAAGGGTCATGTTAATTGCTGCAGATTTAACGTGAGTATGAATTATAAATATTTGCAAAAACACATACCCCAGCCCAGCACTCCAGCAATGCCCACCGCCAGTACAATTGCCCAAGGAACGACGGTGGAAGCATTTGATGCTTCCTCACTTATGTGGACACTGGAATCGAATGAACCTACCAAACAATTGTCGATATGTTATTACATCTTGCTATTGTAATGTAAGCATACCAATAGTCCAAAGCGGTGCCAAAAAGCTCAATATGAACGCGAATCCATCTGTCCATCCGTTGACTATGCATGAAATGATAAGCAGAGTATAAACTGAGTCCCCGAGACTACGCACGATTGACAAATTCGCCCAAGGCAAAGTGTGCGGTGTTCTTAAACTCCGACGGAGTAACGATAGGAAGCGCAATAATAATTCCGAAACAGAGCCTGCCAACGTTATCGTATTGGAACATCA